GGTAGTGCAGCGGCGTATCTAGCCGAAGATCGTGGGTTCGAATCCCGCTCGTGCCATTAACTTTTTTCATCTCAACTAAAAACCTTAATTAATTGTAATGTATTAATTGGTCAAGCGGACCACGAAATTAGGGAATTAAAGTAAATGTGTTGTTTATCAATGAAACTTATCTATTGTACATATGTAGTCAATGACTTATGATTTATAATTTATAATATATGTAATTATTTGTAACTTCCCTATTTATTAATATATTCTTTCTGCAAGTGGTTTTTATTATAATTTTCACCACTTTCTTATTTCTCTAGGCCAAATCAACAAATATTGTAAATATAAATTCACTAATTTCGTGGTCCGCTTGACCAATTAATATATTACAATTAATTTTTATCTCAACTAAAAACCTTAATTAATTGTAATTGTAAATATACTTAAGCCCTCTGCCACAAGGATGTATAATGTCCTAGACATTTCCCCATGTAGTCACTTTGTACAAAATGTATGTAAAAAGTACCTAATAAATAAACTCGAATACTCAACCTCAACTATTGATACCTGTTGAATATTGTAGGCCTTTGAATTGAAGTGCGAATGTGTTTTTTTTTAAACAGTGCTGTTAACACAAAGCTCATTATTACCCATAATCTTTAAATATTGAAATATTTTGCCGATCCGAAAAACTTGACACCCGTACGTCCAAGCAATGTGATTATATGGAAAGGTTTGGTTTTAATGGTAATTTTGATTGATGGTTTAGTAGGTAATAAAGCATTTTTATTCGACATTTTAAGTTTTTTAATCGCGCTATCACACGTAAACAAGGTTTTGTTTTTGAATAAACTAATAACAGCATTTAAATAAACTATACTAGCAATAAAAAACATCTATTTAAAAAAAAGCAAACAAGCTAAATTGTCCTGCAACCAAAGAACTAAAACGAGACTAAGTATTAGAGGATCGTAGACAATCAAGCTAGATATAAAAGTCTATTGATTTTTTTGTTTGCCAAGGCAACTGAACTTTTAGAAAACACCTTTCTGATCGGTTTAACAAAGCGATTTCTGAGTTCGTTATAAACTATTGATACCTGTTGAATATTGTAGGCCTTTGAATTGAAGTGCGAATGAGTTTTTTTAAAAGATTACAACGAGGAACCGGGTTACAAGGATGTAAGTTATATCGTTTTACTTTCATTTATTCATGGCAAAGGCGCCTAGCGTGGGATTCCTTAATAATAGATTCTTGAGGGAAACTCCAGCGGGCGTGGAGGGATCTCAATATTTCCCGTCCGCCTTTTCTGCAGGCCAATATACATAATGGAGGCGGAGGTCGAGTAGAGACTCTCCCCGCGGAAAAGAGGGCACACACACGAGCTATTGCTTCGAGATTGTTTGCGAATAAAGACCGACTCTGTTCCAAACGAGAAGGGAACAACATGACGAATAAACAAGATATGGCAAAAGCCAGGCTAGCAGGGGCGAGCCTCGTTTTGTGATTTATTCAAGACCTTCTCCCCCCCCCCCAACAAGCCATGTGAGGTAATAGTTGATTGAACTATTTTCCATCAGATTGTTCCTAAGTCAGACCACCTATTATATTGTACCATTGACAAATTACATAAAAAATAATAGCAAAAGATAATTATTAGAACCTTTCCCTGTCTGAAAGATAATCGCAAAGCAATAAAAAATATACCAGGCACAATTATCGACAAAATTTAATTATATTTATGAAACAAACAGGAATGGTGCGTTTAAAATACATGAGATAAACATAAAGAAACACATTCTTCAGTAAATAATAAAATAAAAAGTCTCACTGGTTTAAAAAATAAATGATCTGCTATTCGATCAACAAAAATCCAGGGTAATCAGTGAAGACCGAGTATGTCCTTCCGATCTCATGGCCCCTCTACACTAAGGGCACCAATGCTTGGCTACTGGCAAATGTTTGCACCATAGTGAAGTGAGGCCATCAAGAGCAGAGAGCTAGAGCATACCCAGGTTCAATCAACCTCGTCATGTACCTGGAAGATCAACACTTCAACCGGTCAGCTAGAGTGATCTATTGATGATGTGCCATTGCATTGCTATAAAAAGTTATTAAGATACTTTAAATCGAGAGCACGTACGATTGACACTGTTTTGATGTTAAAAACCGACAAAATATTGTACATACTATAAAATTTAAATAACTACTTTCAAAAAAGGGTTAAACATGGGAAATAGTAGGTTCCTCAAAGTAGTTTCCTCGGAAGCTATGATAGAGAAAAGTATTGAAGAGGTCTGAGAGTGACTAATTCCTTATGTGAGCAAATTAATCCCATTAGATCCCAAGATGTTGAAAGCTATACATTTTACCAATAAATTTAGATTAGGCTTAGGTGCGCACTATGAAAGTATGTTTATGAATAGCCTTATTGAAAACTAGGCCTGTACAGCATAGACTTCAAATCTAAAAGCAAAGAATACATTTACGGTGTCAGACGGTTGAACGTTATGAGGTTCAATTAATTATTTATTTTATGTAACGTCTTAGTCGAGATGAAAAAGTTAGTGTCACGAGCGGGATTCGAGCACACCACCTGTGGCTCAATACGCCGCTGTTCTAACTTCTTAAGCTGACTTCAAGTGAGGACAGCTCATGTGGTTCGAGTAGCAGCGTATGGAGCCGAAGGTCGTGAGTTCGAATCCCGTACGTTACGCTAACTTTTTCATCTCGACCAAGACCTTAAATTAAAAGAATTATTAATTGAAATAATTCGTATGGTTAATTATGACAACTAAACATATATGGTGTTATGAGGTTTACTTAGAAAACCGTTAAATGAAGACAAATGCCGTTGAAAACCTCATACCAAAATTGAAAACCTCATAAAAATACCAATTGCAATATTTGTCATTTAAATGAAAAATAAGATACCTAACCATTTTATCGAGGCTTGCTTAAAATTATGTGAGCTAAGAAAAAAATTGTTAGGGTGGGACATTTACCCGTCAGTATTTGTATTGGAAAAAGTGAGATCTATGTGAGGTGAATTGAATATTTTGTAAGCTCACTAATTTCGTGGTCCGCTTGACCAATCAATATATTACAATTAATTAACGTTCTTAGTTGAGATTAAAAAGTTGAAAAATGGCAAAAAGGAGGGTAAATTCAAAAGGTGTCCAAAAGGTCAAAAGATGGTGTCCGAGTGGATCGAGGTCACGATAGCTCAAGTGGTAGAGCAGCGGCGTACCAAGCCGAAGATCGTGGGTTCGAATCCCGCTCGTGCCATTGACTGTTTTATCTCAACTAAAAATCTTAATTAATTGTAATATTTTGTAAGCTTTTTAACAGTGTAAAATTTGGCAACATAAAATCAAATATATATAAATATAAATCAAATATAAATATAATATAAAGCAATAAAAATCATATATACGTATATGCAATTTTAATGCATATTTATATTGCACAGATTCGAAGGATTGAAGACAGGAATGGACCAAAACCATTGGCTAATCGCAAAAAGAATTCTACCAGCGATGCACCAGAAATTCTTGTAGTTGGGCAGGCCCTTACCCACCTTGTTCCCCTGACATTGCCCCTTCATATTTTTGTTTATAAAGGGCTGTGCAAAACTCTAAAATTCTTTACTTCAGTTGAGAACTGCAGAAAACCCTCTGAAGAATTAATGTAATAAAACACCTGGTATTTACATGTAGACGGGACTAAGGGATTCCTTTCGGTAATGACACGAATCCGAAATAGTCATGGATAAGCAGTGCCTTCCTTTACAAAATAAAACAGACACAATACTGCAATTCCATTTGCGATGTACCTGAAGATTTAAAACATTTACTTTTCGATTGGGAGGAATACCAGGAAATCAGAGAAACATTCCTAGCAGGAATTTTTGGATTTCGGTCACTGACAATCCCTTCCACCTTAAAACAATGATAACTTCAGAACATTTGTTGATGTAGAAATCGAATTTAAATTCATAAAAAAAGTAATTTGAATATATAGCGTTATCACTATAGCGCATCCTGGTTCAGTTTTGAACAAAGTAAGATTCTTATATTAATAATAATAAATGAACAACAATTTGTGCAGTTTTTTTTAATCGATTATGTTAACATGTGGAGGTTATGTCATGTTAAATCATCTGACGAAATAGGACTTGAATGTAACTGTTTGATATATCATCCTGTACAATGGCCGGATATTACACAAATAAAGCAAAAAAAAATCTGAGAGGAATTACATTACGTAGATGGATGGTAACAAAATTGTATTGATGATTAAATTTGTTTTGAAGAACCTGAAAACTTCAATCAATTTACTATATAAAACGGTATGGAGTTATTCTAAAATCGGATACTTTCGAAGGGAGTGGTTGATAGAACACCATTTGATGTCTACCATAAGAACTTGTCCTGGAGAGAAGCCTTGATGATTGTATAGTTTTGGTTCAGTTTTGAAAGTAGGATTCTTAGATTAATAATAATAAATCAACAACAATTTGTGCAGTTTTTGTTAATCAATTTGTTAACATGTGGAAGTTGTGAATTTTTAAAAATTTTAATCCAGAAATGTTTCTTTTTTATACAAATACAATAAATCATCTGATAAAAAAGGACTTGTATGTTATTGTTCGATATATGCGATGTCTTTATTATTTTGTCCCCGATATTTAAAAACCATGTTTGATAGATTCAAGATGGAACTTAATATAAGAAATATTCAAATTTAGCTCCTCGCTGGTGAATTCTTAATTAGTTATTCGATAGAGTCGACCAAATTGTGTACAGGCTTACCGACCGGCATCGCACTGTCCTTTACAATATTGAGCATTTCCCGATTTGAAGAAACGAACGCTGTGTTATTTTTTATCGGCCCTTTCGCTCTGGTGTTTGGCTGCTTGGCCGACTCGTACACGGGCAAGTCGACAGTCTGCCTTTTGGAAGTTTTGACTGTATTCGCCTCTTCGTTATGTTGGCTCCTCTCCATTCTCGACGAGAGGTCTCATGTTTCCTTTCTGCATTTGTCAAGATCGATGATGGTCCTGTCTTACGCCGTGTCGGCGGTCAGGAATATGTTTTTACTGGAACAGTTCGATATACTAACTCAGACTCAAGAGGTAGGCAGATATATTTTTTATTTGGTGTATATACGGATTTTGATGAGATTCGTGTGCGAGCTTTCTATTCGAAACGGGTCTTGGGAATCCGTTACATATGAGCATCATCGCGATCTTGTCGGTGAGCGCGTATTTCATCCTCTTATTGTTCTTGAAAAGTAAATTGAAGAATGAAATTATTCTTTCCAAAGTTTGGGAGCTATGCATTAACCATTTGTTCAACATCACAAGAAAACCTCTTCATAAAATGCCAATTTTTACGGAAAATAAACTAGGCATTTTGAAACAAGAAAACGTTAAAAAGACAGGGCATAACAGGGTGATGTTCAAAAATATTTTGGTTGTACACACTTACACTCCGTCGTCCTCATCGAATAAGCTGGTTCCAGAGACGGTAACGCCATCGGAGTCTAATTCGCGGGGCATTTGCAGAAAAATAATAGATTTCTTTTGTCCATTTTCCAAAACCACAGCCAGCAATCTCGACAAAAACGATGTCAATAAGGCTAAGATTCAATACTTTGATGAAACGTCTCCGGCCGTCGTCAAACTTGTGGAAGCGCAAACGAATACGTTTTTTAAAACTCTGATCTATTTTATACCGGGGGTTTTCATGAGTAATGCTATTGCGTTTTTAATGTTTACTACCGTCAACCAGGCGGAATTCTCTTCTAGAAATCGAACGCATTGGTGGGCGGATATGGACCTTCAATGGTATTCCGCGATATTTTTCCATTGAATGAATTTATAGTCTACCTATCGTGCGAAAACGTAACTTTTCCAATCTTCACATATTTCTTAGTGGGTACCTTGCGTTAACCCTCGCAGTTATGTTTTCGCTGGTCGTACAGATACAGTTGGAGGACGGGCTGAATTTTATGCCAGAAGAGCACACGTCCAATTTAAGGATATTCAACACGTTGCCCTATTCGTGCACCATCAATATCGCCGGCTATATAAATAATACCAAAGTACATCCTTTCGATTATACCCTTGAGACTCGATTTCATGTTGTGGAGTCTACAAAAGTTTGGGTAACAGTAACGGAAAAAACGAACACCTCTGAAGATTCCAGGACATATCCGGTATCCTTGAAAGCAAGAAAATCCATAACAGTTCGATATACTAACTCAGACTCAAGAGGTAGGCAGATATATTTTTTATTTGGTGTATATACGGATTTTGATGAGATTCGTGTGCGAGCTTCTATTCGAAACGGGCCTTGGGAATCCGTTACATATGAGCATCCTCGCTATCTTGTCGGTGAGCGCGTATTTCGTCTTCATATCTTCCTGGAAAAGAAAAATGAAAAATGAAATTATTCTTTTCAAAGTTTGGGAGCTATGCATTAACCATTTGTTCAACATGTTAAGACAACCCCTTCATAACATTAAAATTTTTAAGGAAAACAAACGAGGCATTTTGAAACAAGAAAACGTTAAAAAGTCAGGGCATTACAAGGTGATGTTCGAAAGTATTTTGGTTGTACACACTTACACTCCGTTTTCCTCATCGAATAAGCTGGTTCCAGACACGGAAACGCCATCGGAGTCTAATTCGCCGGGCATTTGGAGGAAAATAATAGATTTCTTATGTCCATTTTCCAATAGCACAGCCAACATGCCCGACAAAAACGAAGAGGATAAGGGTGAGATTCAATACCTTGATGAAACGTCTCCGGCCGTCGTCAAACTGGTGGAAGAGCAAACGAATATGTTTTTTAAAACTCTGATCTATTTTATACCAGGGGTTTTCATGAGTAATGCTATTGCGTTTTTAATGCTTACTACCGTCAACCAGGCGGAATTCTCTTCTAGAAATCGAACGCATTGGTGGGCGGATATGGACCTTCAATGGTATTCCGCGATTTTTGATATCATTCTTTTTCCATTGAATGAATTTATAGTCTATCCTATCTTGCGAAAACGTAACTTTTCCAATCTTCACATATATCTTACTGGGTACCTCGCGTTAACCCTCGTAGTTATGTGTTCACTGGTCGTACAGATACAGTTGGAAGATGAACTGCATTTTATGCCGGAAGAGTACACGTCCAATTTAAGGATATTCAACACGTTGCCCTATTCCTGCACCATCAATATCGCCGGCTTTATAAATGATACCGAAGTAGAACCTTTCGAATATGCCCTTGAGACTGGAGTTCCTGTTGGGAAGTCTGCAAAACTTTGGGTAACAATAACAGAAAAAAGGAACACCACTGAATCGTCCAGGACATATCCGGTATCCGTGAAAGCAAGAAAATCCATATCTGTCATTATTACGAAAAACGGTTTATTTCAGAACGGGGATTACGATCCAACACTATTTCCGGCTGGGGAAATAAATAATAGTGTTTCTTCTTTCTTCGTAATTCACGGGTTAACGTCTCTCAAGGAAAGTCCTAGCTTGAACTTTATCGAAACGAAGACACTGAAAAACACCGCCTTCCGTATTGAAAGAGGAATACAGCACGAGATCAACGCGGGAACTTATACTCTGGAAATAAAAGAAGGCAACAAAACCTCCTCAGAGGTAAATAACGTTGTTATCAATGGAGCTATGCTTTACGTAGTTTTCATCTACGACAACGAGTCTGAAGTTTTGACCGGAAACGTGTTCCTGTTGGAAGGACCTGTGACCCTCCAGTATTATTATCTTATTTTGCAGGTTTTCCTGTGGAATGCCGCCCACGTCTTGTCTTCGGTTTCTTATTTCACTTTCATGTTTGAACAATCGCCGCCAAAACTTCGAGGGGGGATTTCACGATTCTCTCTGTCATCCAATTGCTCGGCCTCTCCTTCTTAACCTACTATACCAAGATGAAGCACTTTTTCAGTTACTCTAAACTGATTACGGTTTACGCCAGCACTTTTGTTGTTATTTTCTTCCTAAATGTGTACTTTATTGTTTCACTCACTTAGCAGTGTAAACAAAATACATCACATGCCATGCGTTTTATTTAACACTTCACCAGCTGAGTACAGGAAACAATACAAATCTGCCATATGTATTTGTCCTTATAAATATATTTTTTATTGAGTTTGTAATTGTAAAGTGATTGTTAACAACACCAGTAGGACATGAAATTTAAGACAAATGCTTTATAAAAAAAATTCACTTTATTAAATATAAGTCACTAATTTCGTGGTCCGCTTGACCAATTAATATGTTACAATTTAAGGTTTTTAGTTGAAATAAAATATAATGTGTAAATCCTAACAGTGACTTAAAACATGAAAAATCAACGAATAGCACTATTCATACAATACTTTATGATGTTGCATTGCACACCCTAGAAACATTAATACGTAAATTAATGTTGAATTGAAAAATTGTTGATAGGGCCAATTGGAAAGAAAAGAAAAACACTCCAGCTTCTTCAGCAAACTTTCGCTTATTTTTACTCCGGCATCAGGACTTCGAAGCAAAAGATATTGGTCATCACCACCCTTCAATTCTTTTCCTGTCTTTCTCGCCTTTTAATCCTTTTAATTCTTCTAATTTATTTTAATGTTTATCCAGGCTAATTTATAATGTAATATGATATAATGGTAACCGACTCTTTCTTTTCTTTTTCCTTTTGTTACTTATTCTCTCTGTACCTCCTGGCCTCGTCATTTGTGAATAAAATAACACAAATAACAAACGTACATACAAAAAATTATAAATAAAACGTAATAGTCTAGTTAAAATTCAATCTATCTTAGAATACTCGATATTCCTTTAAGTAATTGGAGATGAGCCTTTTCATTCACACTAATAAATTATATTCAAACACTTCAGAGTACCCGATATTCCAGTGTGACCAAATGTGTCCTTCCGATCTCATGGCCCCACTATGGGCAAACGTAGGCCAATGTATTGGTCACCAATGCTTGGCTCTTGGCCAATGTTTACGCCGTAGTGAAGAATGGCAGAGAGCGAGAGCATACCCAGGCTCCATCAACCTCCGGCGTGTACCTGGAAGATCAACATTTCAACCGGTCAGCTGGAGTTACCTATTGATGATCTGCCATTACATTGCTATAAAAATTTAATCAGATACTTTCAAGGAGGAGCACGTACGACTGGCAATATTTTTGATGTTAAAAACAGATAAAATATTTTACATACTCTAAAATTATATAACTACTTTTTAAAATAAGTGTTAAACATGGGAAATAGTAGTTTCGTCAATGTAGTTTCTCCGGAAGCTATTAGATTCCAAAGCTATACTTTTTTCCAATAAAAATAGATTTGGCTTAATATAATAGTTCTGTATTCAGCTTTATAGCATCGGTGAAAGTATTTATCAGGAAAAATAGCACACTTCTAGTAGGTCAGTATTATTCTTGTTTAGTGAAGGACTTAATGCTGCTCCGGAATAACTGTTGTTACAGCCGACACATCTTAAGCGGGGAACACATTTACCCGATGCAACGCTATGCGAAGCTACCCGACGCCTTGCCACGTTTTGGTAGGGTGTGCACATCTGTGCGCGTCAAGCACACCCTACGTACAATCACACAAGTATATCGTTTCTGCCTACATCACCATTGCTCTAGTTATACTGCTGAACTCCTAGCCATTCTCAAAGCAATTAATATCATTAATGTGTCCCGTACCACCCTAATTATCTGTTCTGACTCTCTTTCAGCACTCGCCACACTAAAAAACACATTCTCCCTAAACCCAGACATCTATAATATTCTTGCAAAGTTAAAACAATATAAAGACATAGGTGTCGAAGTATTATTCAAATGGATCCCAGGCCACGCTGGAATAACTGAAAATGAGAAGGCGGTGCGTATGGCGAGAGAGGCAGTCTTGAGTGGTATTCCTCACGGAGGGGTCCCCTTCAGTGACCTCTGCTGTCACTTTAGGCGGCTCATCTGGGGGGCATGGAAGTGTGAGTGGGGTGCCTGCACAGGAAACAAGCTCCTCGCAATAAAGAAAGATGTAAAGAAATGGGAATCCTCTTCCAGACCCTCCCGAAAAGAAGAAACCCTCCTAACCCGGCTTCGAATTGGCCACTCTCGACTCACCCATAGATTCCTACTTGAAAGAACTCCTAAACATATATGTCCGCTCTGTAAAACTACCATCACAATATCCCACATCCTAATAGATTGTCCTTTATACACTTCTAAAAGATCCCTCCATCAGATTCCCAAAGACCTCCAATCCATACTAAGCAACAACTCAACATCAATAAACAAAATTTTTAACTTCTTAACAGACATCCAACTAATTGATAAAATCTGATATCCCATCCCCTCAACTCTTGTTTCCTTTGCTGGTTCCCCATGTTGGCGGTGTGGTGCGGCTGACTTCTGGCGACCCCCGTGCGGGGCCTCGGGTGCTGGTCGGTCTTGGGCTGGATTGAGGGGTGCCTCCCCGGACTCTGAGGTCAAGGGATCTCCAGCGAGCTTAGAGGAGGGGTCGGGTCTAGTCACCATAAAAGTCCTGCGCGCAATATTAAGGGGTTCCGTTCTTTCTAGGCCTGGGGCTGCCACTGCGCCGGGGTCTGCGGGGGCCTCGCTCTGAGGGGGCCGGGCTGCGCCGTTAACTTGCACAGACTCAAGGCTTAATGACCAATAAGGTTTCAGCCTTTAAATTATTAAAAAAAAAAAATCACACAACGTGTATCAGGAATAACTATCACAATCGCAATGCCTCTTTTGTTCTTAATGCAGTATTTTGAGCATAACCACGTAATAAATTGTTGGGTGAATTTATTTGTTTTTAAATAAAGTTATTCCGGTGTTTTGATCAATTTTCTACCCAATTATTATAATTAAATAAATTTTATAAAAACTCATGAATTTTTGATTTCGTTTAATTTGATTTATATTAAAATAAGAATGTTGTAATTAATATAACGACAAAATTGCATACATTTGAAATAAACTACAAAACATATGAGTGTCCTCAACTTACGCTACTCGACGAAAATGGTGTAATTTTATGAGCAAAACCGTGTGATAAATTGTTAGTTAAATTCATTATATCAAAAAATGGTATTCCGGTGTTTTGATCAATTTTCTACCAAACCATTAAAAATAATTTTTTTGAAATTAAAAACTTACGATTTTTGATCTCGGTTAATTTGGTTTATATTAAAATAAGTATTTTGTAAATAATGTAGTGACAATAATACATGTAGTTTCAATAAAAATATGAGTGTCCGGTTTTTATGTCTTCGACTGTACTCGATGTTACTCGATTTGGACAGTGGGGATCGCTGTGCGTTGAGTATGGTAGCGTTGCGTAGCATCGGGCAGATGTGCACGGGGGTAATACAGCCTTATGGAAAATCGGAGTTTGGATTTGCGTCGGGTAGCATTGGGTAGCGTCGCATGTAGTACATACAGCTTCTTAAGAACTTCTTTAGTTGATGTCGACTTGCAGGGATACATCCAACAAAACTTTGTAAATCCGTCTATAACTGTAAGTAAAAATTGGTCCAAGATGATCCAAATGATATGCGTAAAACGGTGCGTTGCCTTTCTCGATGGGGTTGAAAAATCCTTCCTGTTTTTCACGTTTCCGTTCCGACAAGATACAGCGTACACAATATTTTAAGAAGTAGCCTACTCATGCTCTATGTTTTCAATAATATATTCCTTTTCAAATAAATTAACAGTTTTTGTCACTCCAAAATGTCCTCGCTCATGCGCGTTAAGAATGATTTCAGTATTCATTTGTTTTGTCACCACCAAACGTTTCTCATCATCGTGCAGTTTGTACAAAAGGCCATTTTCCTTAACATAATCGTCAAATTGCGATGTCTCCAAAATTTTCATAATCACAAGGATATGTTTATTCATTCTTTGAGCATTTCGCAAAACGATCTAGGAAACCACACGAAATTGGTAAAGCAGTTGGGTGACTACTTAACTCTCAACAACAATGTTTCAATTTGTTACCAGTACGATGTTCAATAGTATAAGTAAATCCATCTAAAATCATTGCCCAACTGGCAACTTTTGGAGATAAGTACTTTTTACTGGCTGAAAAGCAGCACAGTCAGTCACAATTTTGAATGGAATACCAACTAAATATACTCCGGAACTTCTTAACAGCTTCGATCACGGCTAAGGCCTTATAATTGAATGGTGGAATCAGGACAGTTGTTTTAGACCTTGTGAGAAGAAATAAAAAATAAACTACAGCAAAAAAAATACAAATAAACACCTTTTTTCTATTTTTTTGAAAATAAAAATGAATAATACCGATTAAAACCTTTTTTTTTTAATTAAAAATTAAAAATTTAGTATTTCTTTTGTCTTTTTACTCATGAAGTAAACAGGATGAAAACTTCCTCTCTTCTCGTCGTTTTGTAAAAGAATCGCTCTTTACCATCCTTACTTGCGCCCGTATGAAGTTCGGTTTCAGACAGTAGGTCATAAAGAACGAAAACAGGTGCTTTGCACAGTTTCTGTCTTAAGAGGTTGAAAGTTACTCGTTGATCCGAATTCAACGTCACTGGTCCTTTAGGGTTGCCCTTTAAAAGTTTCGTCAAGGGTAAAGCAATTTTTGCATAATACTTAATAAATTTTCTAAAATAGCCAGTAAGGCCCAAAAATAACTTCAAAGTTTTATATCAGACGGTCGAACAGTGTTGTTTTTTTCTAAATGTCCTAAATATTCAATAAATGTTTTAAAAAATTGGCTCTTCTTCCAATTAACGTCCAAACCCTATTCAGAACAAACAGGAATTACAATTTCTAAATTTTTCGCCGCTTCAGTATCACCTCTTCCAGGAATGATAATATCATCAAAATACATCATCACAACTTTTTTGTAAATCAAGACTTGAAAAACGTTAGTCACATAACTCACAAAAACAGCAGGAGAATTACACAATCCAAACGGTGCTCATAAAAGTTGATAATGTCCAGCTGGGGAAACGATCGCTGTGTATTTGCAGCTTATCGTCTACTGGTACATGAAAAAATCTGTTTTTCAGATCAATCGAGCTAAAAATGGTAGCTCCCCGTAACTGGCCTAACTGATCGTCGATGAGGGGCATAGGGTGTCGGTCTTTAAATATTTTTTGTTGAGATGTCGGAAATCGACACAAATTCCTCTTGAACCATCCTTTTTAGGATCCAGCACGATGGGCTTGCAAATTCCGAATCACTAAGTTCTATAATATTGTTGTCTAACCATTCAACAATTTGAGCATTAACATCTGCCATTTCTGCTCTTGAAACACGTCGAGGATGTAAAAAACAGGATTCTCATCGGATAAAATTGTTCTCATTTTAACGACACCATATTTGATTTTATCCGGCTTGTAACTATCGTTTAGTTCTTCGACGAATGATTTCCATTTGGTATACGAACGTCTAGTTCTTGAATTTGCGTATTAATTGAAAATACTTGGGGAATTTTTTATTCTGGCACAAAAATAATCTTATTATTGTAGGCCCTTTTTCAGGATTGGATCAGATAAAAACCGTAAAGACTTTTTCGTTTTAACACACTCTGTTTATTTTCAATACATAAGTATATACACATATTATAACCTCTCTAAAACTGACCAACGGATTCAAGTACGTCACTGTCTGACGTCACCTTGGCGCAACATTCAAATTTATTCTCCTACATTATTTTTAACAATAATCTCCGCGTATTTAAAAAATTCTCGCCCAAGCAAATTCAATACAGAATCATCGATTACAGAATCTGACGTCGGAAAATTTACGAAACATTTCGTCCTTTATTGCAATATCACATGAAAAGGAACGCGCGTTACAACCGAAAATCCGCTAAGTCCTTGGATATCAATAGAACAATGGCTTCCCGAGAGCAGCATATACGGTCTCATATTTACTTCCGAACCAGTGCCAATTAATGAAATAAAGCACTCACCAGCAATATTGACAGCAATGCGGCAACATTCGTCATCCATTGATGTTTTGATTTTGGAAGGAAAATACTTTCGGCAGCAGGTGACAGTGTGCAAGCATGATGCGCAGAATCGTCCTGAATGGCGCGGAATTTTTTAGGTTTTTCAATCCTCTGTTTTCCTTTATCGCCGAAAGTCGTAAACAAGCACTTTTTCTTCGATGCCGGATGTTCTGCCGACCTACAGGCCACTGCTTGATGTCCAAAATTTCCTCACTGAAAGCACTTGGGTCCTCTTTCGCGGAATGTGCAGTCTTTCGATTTATGATCTACAATTGTAGCATCGAAACGGTTTTTCGGTAGCCGATTTACCGGGTGTCTTATTAAATTCAGCTGAAATATCTTCACCTGCTCCCACGTCTTATTTCTGCCAATTAGCCTTCCGATTTTCCAAATTCTGCCTCAACTTTTCGTACATGTCCAGTTTTTTCTTAAAGTCCGCTAAATCTGAAGCTCCATATAAAATACTTTTATTTCGCCAATGGTCACTGATGCCTGCTATACAAGGACATCTCCTTGCTCAGAAATTTCTTTTAGTCGAAAATAGAACGCTTTAACCTTCTCATTAGGCTTTTGCTTCGTATTCGAAAGAATTCGGTGGATCACCGCAGCTGAAATTTTCGGCTCAAACTCGTCTAACAGTCTTGTTTTGAGCGTTTTCCAACTATTAAAACCTGCCTCACATCTGATAAAGAAAAAAGCTGTCACTTTTAAGGATCTTTTGGCGAATATGAGCGTCTACAGAACCGTCCACTTCATAAGAATCGCAATCTCTTCAGTTTGTTTGATCCATTTTACAATAAAAAACGCATCATCGTCGGAAAATGAAACTGTCAAATCTTTAAATCTCTCATCGAAAAGCATAGGGATTTTTTACCCACATCGTCATCCATGCCATCACACCTGCTCCAAAATCGTCAAATCCGAGAGACTTTTGTCTTGATTTTTTAGGCATTTTTACTTCCCGCAGTCCTGTATTGTATTATTATATCGTCTCTTCTTTTCTTTATATGCGTCACTTTTGTTTACTCGAATTTTCAAATCCGACAACCAACTGACCTCCTCCTAGCAAGCGAGCGGCCCCCAATTTTGAAGGAAAATTGGTTAAGTTAGTGGCTTTGGAAATGTACTCGAAATAACTTATGAATTTTATTGATTACAAGCAACAAAAATAAACAAATGTAAATAATTTGAACTAAATAAAATTATTTCGACACAGCACACACGATAAACGTCTATTTATTTTTACAACCAAATCTCAACTCAACTCGTTCTACACGCCTGCGCATCTCAGGCGACTTCCGACATATACATATATAAATTCTAATACCTCTTGCACGGATTCGAAGTCAGGAATGGACCAAAACCATTGGCTAATCGCAAAAGGAATTCTACCAGAGATGCACCAGAAATTGTTGTAGTCTAGCAGGGATGACCTTACCAACCCTGTTCTCCTGACATTGCCCCTTCATATTTTTGTTTATAAAAGGCTGTGCAAAACTCTAAAATACTTTACTTCAGTTGAGAACTGCAGAAAACCCTCTAAAGAATTAATGTAATAAAACACCTGGTATTTACATGTAGACGGGACTAAGGGATTCCTTTNTCTTCTAGAAATCGAACGCATTGGTGGGCGGATATGGACCTTCAATGGTATTCCGCGATTTTTGATATCATTCTTTTTCCATTGAATGAATTTATAGTCTATCCTATCTTGCGAAAACGTAACTTTTCCAATCTTCACATATATCTTACTGGGTACCTCGCGTTAACCCTCGTAGTTATGTGTTCACTGGTCGTACAGATACAGTTGGAAGATGAACTGCATTTTATGCCGGAAGAGTACACGTCCAATTTAAGGATATTCAACACGTTGCCCTATTCCTGCACCATCAATATCGCCGGCTTTATAAATGATACCGAAGTAGAACCTTTCGAATATGCCCTTGAGACTGGAGTTCCTGTTGGGAAGTCTGCAAAACTTTGGGTAACAATAACAGAAAAAAGGAACACCACTGAATCGTCCAGGACATATCCGGTATCCGTGAAAGCAAGAAAATCCATATCTGTCATTATTACGAAAAACGGTTTATTTCAGAACGGGGATTACGATCCAACACTATTTCCGGCTGGGGAAATAAATAATAGTGTTTCTTCTTTCTTCGTAATTCACGGGTTAACGTCTCTCAAGGAAAGTCCTAGCTTGAACTTTATCGAAACGAAGACACTGAAAAACACCGCCTTCCGTATTGAAAGAGGAATACAGCACGAGATCAACGCGGGAACTTATACTCTGGAAATAAAAGAAGGCAACAAAACCTCCTCAGAGGTAAATAACGTTGTTATCAATGGAGCTATGCTTTACGTAGTTTTCATCTACGACAACGAGTCTGAAGTTTTGACCGGAAACGTGTTCCTGTTGGAAGGACCTGTGACGCTCCAGTATTATTATCTTATTTTGCAGGTTTTCTTGTCGAATGTCGCCCAGGTCTTGTCTTCGGTGGCTTATTTCACTTTCATGTTTGAACAATCGCCGCCAAAACTTCGAGGGGGAATTTTCACGATTCTCTCTGTCATCCAATTGCTCGGCCTCTCCTTCTTAACCTACTATACCAAGATGAAGCACTTTTTCAGTTACTCTAAACTGATTACGGTTTACGCCAGCATTTTTGTTTTCATTTACATCTTAAATGTGTACTTTATTGTTTAACTGACTAAGCATGTGTAAACAAAATACATCACATGCCATGCGTTTGATTTAACTCTTCACCAGCTGCATAATGAAAACAATAAAAATCAACGATTGTATTTGTCCTTATAAATATATTTTTTATTGAGTTCATAATTGTAAAATGATAGTTAACAACACCAGTAGGACATGAAATTTAAGACAAATAAATGCTTTATAAAAAAAATTCACTTTATTAAATGCGTAAATCCTAACCTACCTACAAAACATAATAAACAAAACATAATGAAATACACACAGTTAAAATTCAATCTATCCCAGAATACTCGATATTCCTCTAGGTAATTGGAGATGAGCCTTTTCATTCACCCTAATAAATTATATTCAACCATTCATTCATGTATCCCCAAAGTACCCGATATTCCACGGGGTAATTGTGAATAAGCCCTCTGATTGGTGGAAATAAATGACATTCACTCACTACAATCCATTCACCACTGAGTAATGGTACAAAGATCTATATACTGCTGCCGTCCCCAAAACCGCGTATGTCATTTGGGATCATATTTAATTTTTTGCAGACTTAGTTCTTTGAAGTTGTGATTATGTACTGTTCCTTGATAAGTTCTTCCCACAACGGTCGAGCTCTTCCGCAATTTCCCGCGTTGTCATACGTGTACAACATACATGTTATGGTATGGTTTTCTGTTAAATTGTAAGATGCCAAAAGTTAATAAAATGGGAATATTAATCAACTTTTTCATTCAAAATTCTCTCGAAAAGTACTAACAAATGAAACGCTTCAATTCGTGCAGACATACCTAACTTGTATCCTAACGTCTAACAGCCTACTACTTTATAGGATATGGGATGTTTCTTTTATGAATGAGAGTATTAGGACAGGTCTGAAATTAACAAAATAAATGTATTGGCACGATTTAATTAGTGCTATTTAAGAATAACGTGTTAACAAAAAACAGCTGTTAAATTGTTGGTTACCTACGCCCTAACGAAAAAATAGAAGACATAGTGAAGGACGTACGTTAAGGTTGACAAACGATAAGCCATTTGAGCATATATAACAATCTGAATTTTTTGGAATACTAACGGACTTTTTGTTTCGGTATAGGTCATTCAAACGGAACCAGCTTTCAGAGTGAAACGAACCCATTGTACGATGGCTGTATTGAGAACTAGTTTATTTTGATAGTACATAGGTTAAACTACCACTAAATTTTTCCAATTCCTCGTGTGTCTACCACAATTCTTGGTGTCGCCTCAGCCTGGTATTCGTGTACGGAGAATAACCTGTTTTTTCCTGTTTATATCTCTGGAATTGATTCTTTAGTAATTGGGCCGAGCAGGGCGAAATCAATCAAACAAAGCTTTTGCCAGATAAGATAGCTATTCCAACGCTGCAAACAATTTTCAAGCCGCTGACGAAATCCCGTATTCGTTTTACGTTCGTTTGTCTCGCGTTAATTCCAAAGTTCCTTTGGTTATGGTTCGCAACTTACCGTTACAAGGGTTAGATTGCTAAAGTTTCCCACTGTGATTAACGTTTTGTCAGATAATTTAATTCCAATTTAGTGAGAAGTCTTTTCCAAGATAAAAGATATTTGCCCGATTACAGTATAGGATATGCCAAGATCACTTGCATATACCAACTCCTTCTACTAGTTTATACAAACTACTTTAGAAACTATTTTCCTTGTACATAAATAAACAATATATAAATTGACTGTTTCATAATTACATTAGTTGAGATTAACGGAAAAATCACAAACACACAGAAAATACACTTGTTCGTTTCTTCAGCTAGTGTACTACGATATCAATGATGACAGAAAGTGATTATTTGGAGATAGAGGAGATTTGGGTCTGGTTTGACGTAGGTTTTAGAAAAACATTTTCTTCACTGGGCCAATGTTTCGATCTTTATTGAGATCATCTTCAGGCCTCAACGTTGGCTCGATAAAGAAAATGTTTTTCTAAAACATACGTCACGCCAGACCTCATCTCACGATCTCGAAATAATCATTAACTAACTAACGGTCACTAAACACCACACACTCTGACAGAAGGATTTGGATATGGAATTATGTAGGCTCAAATTCACACATGTACATACCTACATGCAAACATGTCCCGACTTGAGCCTATTCGCTTCCTGTAGCCCACTGGCAATTCCTGCCTTTGCTATTTACAATACATTACCAGCAGGAGAATCACCCAGCCCGGGTGTTGGCATTCGGGGGTGACCTCAGTCTTTCCATCCAGCTTAGAAAGTTGGTCCTAGGTGGGGGGTGCTGCGACAGCTAGGTTATTTCAACACCCAACAGCAGTTCCAATACCATTCGTACTCATATCATTCTCAAATACATACATTACATTAGTGGTGGAGTACTCGATATTCCTCCATCACCCTTTACACCTATTATATAAATTTCCTAAGTGAGGGTCGATTGGGTACTCGATATCCGACCAGCAGTCCTCTCACTTCACACATTCACGCTATTAAATACATTCACTCTCAACACAAACTAAGTGCACAGCTATTATTAATATATACAATAGTAAATCCCGATTCCTCCAAGAATCCAGAAATACTCGCTGCCATGCTCAAGTAGCTGACAGGGGTTTAATTTTAGACATAACCAAGGCATTTGATACGATAGATCTCAAAATACTCTCCTTGCCGTGGTGTCAATCTTATTTTACTAAGCGAAGCTAATGTGTAAGAATAAGAACCACATAAGTGCTAATTGGTTCATTGAACATGGAGTATCTCAACGGTTTGACCTGGGTCCTATCTTATTTATTATACACCGACGATTTGTTTTTCACCTTTTACAATCCTTACAGGATGACTTGTTTGTTGAATATTCCGCTGATATATGTATAGATGTAGAGAGGCAGATGATAAATGATTTTTCATTTAATAGATCAGCTTAGAAAAAATTCCAATTTATTTTACTAATTAAAGTCTTCCACGAAGAGGAACCGAAATTATATTGCGTTGCTCTAATGAGTCCTTTAATTGTTTGAAATTTTTTGAGATACAAAAAGATAAAATAAAATATCTTGGTGTGACAATAGATGACCATCTGAAATGGTGCCAACGTGTCAATAAAGTAAGAAAACAATTTAAAAGTGGCTTAAGAGAAATCCATTTTTTTGCGCATTAAAACTAGTATATAATTAACCATATGTATAATTTAGCAGCTATGCAATTATACATTCAATACGGCATTGTATGTTCGTGGACCCAATCCATTGCAGTCAATAAAAAAAAAATATTCGAACCCTTCGTTTAGATTTTGAGCTCACCTCACGAGCTGATCAATTAACTCACTTTACTGAGCGAGCGACAAACGGCTCTGAAAAAAGAACGTGTCTCTTACGTCTCCACAACTCTTATAACAACCCTTCATCGATGGCCGATCAATTGTGAGTGTCGTCTTTACCACTACCAAGTAACTTGACGAGTTGTTTGACCATCCAGCCATTCCGCCACAAAAAAGAGCTCATTCATTTCATTGATTGAGCGGTTTTGATCCGATGGCTAAAAAGAGCGGTATTTCTCAATTCTAGTTTATACTGGAGTGGAAATGGTCAAACGTTAACACTGTTTGTAAAATGCAGAATATTACACTTACTTTATATTTTAGTATTTTGAACACTTAGTTTTATTCGCAGAGGAAGAAATTCGATTGCCAAATTAGAAAAGAAAAAAAATTAGTTACAATTTTCATTATTCTGTAAACTTCCTCAACCTAAATCCACCTTAATGAAAAACTGCTTTTTTTTCACCGGTCCCAAATGGTTTGACAAAATATCACTTTTAATCCACTTCTACAAAATGGTCGTTAACCAAAAATCGAATTTATTCCAATTATTATGCCTTGGCTTTTTAAGTATATTTTGAGTAGTAATGAATTTAAAACTTTCAATTAATTAAGGTTTTTAGTTGTGATAAAAAAGTCAATGGCACGAGCGGGATTCGAACCCACGGCCTTCGGCTAGATACGCCGCTGCTCGACCACTTGGGCTAACATGACTTCGACCCACTCGGACAATGTCTTTTTTATCTCAACTAAAAACCGAAAACAAAAAAATTAATTTCTTATATACATGTCATTAGTCGGTGGCAAACAAGTAGTTGAACTGTATCATAACTCCATCTATAAATGTATATATTCTTTACGTTTAGGCAGGAATTTATTATTTTTTTATTAATTATATATTAACTGTACTGTATGAATATATAAATACTTAATTCTCCCTTTCGCCTTCAAATCGTAACAATTTTTTAATTTTTTTTTATTTGAGATTATGCAGATCATTTTCTCAAAAATACCTACACTCTTACTGCTATACTACGTTGTTATATTATTGTATATAAATAAACATTAAACATTAAAATTATGTTTAATAAAGTTGGTGGGGAAAAAATCAAGTAGTTTTTTAAATGACCAGTTTCGAGCTGTTGCCAACCTTCTATTTAATAAAGCTGTTTTGAATAACTTTTCTAAATATGTTATTTCAGTCATGTTTTTTGTAATAAATTACAATATGTTTGTGTTTACCAAATAATTATTTGGAAATCGTTGACCAACGGTAAAACAGGGCATAGCTCGTTGTTTCAGTACTAGAAGTATCGGTTATTTTTTCACTTACGAACAGAAAGCAAATTTAGTTGCGATTGCCGTGCTTTCGGCCTATTTTAAGGTCATCATCAGGATGTTTTTCATAATGTGAAATTTATATAGGACCTGATGATGATCTTAAAATAGGTCGAAAGCTTGTCATTAGCAACTAAATTTGCTTTCTTCTTCTTCAAGACCATACCTTCATCCAGAGTTTTAAATACTTTGTTGATAAATCTCAAGCATAAGAATTTAGCCGAATTTTACATTACACAGAAATTTGAGAGATGGATATTATTTATAATAAGGTTTTTAAAAAGTTAGCCCTCGGCACAATTAGCATGAGATGGTAGAGTTCGGACTATTTCACAAAATAAAGAAAACAGTCAAATTGAGTTTATAACTGGAAATTACTTTGACAAATGAAATTTTGAGGCTGGCCGAAAAGCAATTCCCACGCCGAACGACTGCGGGCCCAAAGTTATTAAAAACTTTGTCGCTTTTTCCGATTGATTTACGAAATTTTGCCCG